GGACAGACAGTCGGACAGCATGACCCGCCGAGCGCGGCCGGGACACCGAGGGCTCAGGGCCGGGGGAGGAAGGGGCAGGGCAGCGCGCGACCTCCAGGGTCCCTCAGGGACTTGGGCGGGCTGAGGGCGGGGCCCGCTCGGGGCGAGGCGGCAAAGCTGCGACGATGTGGGCGGGGCCTCTAGGGGGCGGGGTCGTTTCGGAGGCGCGAGTTCCCCTAGACCCTAGGACGGCCGGGCAAGACCCACGCGGGAGCTGGAGCTGGACATTCTCGCGAGATGACGGCGGGGCGGAGCCCTGGAGGCTATCCAGGGCAGAGGCGTGTTGGGGGCGGGGCCTCACTGGAGCTTTAGTTTCTAAGGACAGAAGGACGGGGCGTGGTCTGGGGGGAGCCTCGCTAGACACGGTGGGGGTGTAACCGGAAAAGGCGTGGCTATGTGTGCACGAGTGGGCCGGGGGTGTGGCTTGCGGAGGAAGGGGTGGGAGGGGGGTGGGAGTGTCCCGCTGGTGAGTTCTCCGAAACCGCTGGAGCTGGCAGGAGTATCTAGCTGCTGTGTCCCTGCCATTCCCCGCGTACCTCCGCTTCCGCCTGTGTCTGTCCCTCCCCTAAAGGGCTCACAGGAAATGCTCCAGGATGTGCAGAGGCGCCCGCGGGGACCTAGGAATAGTCCCCGGCTGCGGGTAGAGTACCAGGTCCTGGCCTCCCTTCGGGCCTTCTCGTCTAGTTCCGCTGGGTGGCGCGCGCTCCCTCAGTCTTGACCTCTCCTCAGGCTCCACTGCCTGGAGCTCTCTCCTGCTTCAGTGTTGATCCGATTTCCAAATTCCCCTCTCCATACCCTCCTGTGCCTGTGGTCACTGCCTTTCTTGGTTGTGAACCCCTTCCCCAGCCACTGGATCCTCGAGGACCTGACAATTCCTTCTTTGTGCAAAGCGCTTAAACATGGAATGGCAGGTGTCAGCCATGCTTTGCTCTGTGACTTTGAGCAGGGCCCATGCCTTTCTGAGCTGCAGTTTTTGTCTCATCCAGGCACACAAAGCAGGAAGCAGGAACCTCAGTCTCCTTCACAGGGTTAAGTGCACCCCTGCCTCTGGGCTCGGGTCACCATCTTTGCCATCACTATGTGCTCCCAGGGATGTAGTTGGTGCTGGCCCAGTTTTGGGTGCCCCAGGTCCGTGGGAGGGCTATCTTGGTTCTGGGAGTTCCTGAGGCCTCTACCCTGACCCCTGAGAACAGAAGTGCTCTGACCAACCAAGCCAAATGGTTTAATACTGAAGGAAAAGAAGTAAAGCAGGCTTTGGGGGTGGCTCCCAAGGCAGGAGGGGCAGGATTCCCATTGCTGGGGTTGGAAGGTGGGTGGCCTGGTTCCAAGCCTGGCATGCTTCTAGCCTTGCTGTGACTCTGGGCAGGTAGCCTCTCTCTTTGGGCTTCTCTCCTTGGGAGAGGAGGAGTCTTATAGGGAGATGTGAGTGAGAATCTCTGCAGATGTGGGGCTGGAGGGAGTGTGGGGTCAGGGATAAGGGCTTCCACAGGACTTTCACCATCACTGAGAGTCCTGGCCAGGCCCTGGGCACATGGTGGTAGGAGCCAGGAGCCCCAGCCCAGTTGCAAGGGGCAGGACTCCTGGATCCCTGTCAGCCTGGATGTTGGGGAGGGGGTATGGTGCCACTCGGGCCCGTGGGATCCCGAGGTGGCTTGGGGCTCCAGAATATAGACCCTGGTAGGTGAAGGGCCTATAGGTGGCCGGAGACAGCAGGCCCTCGGTGGGGGACAGTAGCTGATGGTGGAGCCGGGCAGAGGTCCTGGAGCTGGAGGCTGAAGCTTTGTCAGGGTCTGAAGGAGGAAACAGTCTAAGTAGACCTCAGGTCTCCTCTCACATCCCCAGCCTTCATCCAGCCTACCCTGTCTTCCTCTCGGTTCCTTCTATCCCAAGCTGCCTACCTCTCAGCCTTTGTCCTTGCTTTTCCCTCTGCCAGGAATTCCTTCCCACCTTTTCCTCCTGTCCGAGCCCTTCTTCCAAGGTCCAATGCTGAAGTCTCCTCCTCCAGGAAGTCCACATGGCATTACCTCTGCTCTCAGACCTTGTCCCTGCCCTGTCTCTGCCCTGGGCCCCATACTCTCTTAAGACTCTCTGCCTTCTCCAATGTGTCCACCAGGTGCCCAGTGGGTTTGCTTAGCCTGCTGAAGCCCCTTCCTGGAGGCTTAGTGGCCCTTTCCCCTGCTTCCTGCCCACTGCATCCATAGCCTGGGCCTCACCTTTCTCCTGCTCTGGGGAGCCCTTCCTCAGACAGGGACTGAGGCTGCTGCGACTCCGGGCTGGGACACTGAGCAAGGGCCGTGGAGATATAGGCCTGAAGATGGAGCAAGCAGGAGTGAGGGTGGGAGGTCAAGGTGAGCAACCCAGGCCAGGGATCGTGGTCAGAGTCAGGGATCATGATGAGACCCCAGGACAAGTCAGAGGGCATGACCCTGAAGCAAGGGTCAGGAGTCGAGGCCGAGTTGAGGGTGAGAGGCTGGGGTTTGGGCAGCCAGGCAGGATGTCAGGGGCCAGACCGTGCAGTACCAGGAGTCCGGGTCACTCTCTCTAAAGCCCTTGGCAAAAGGGTTGCTGGCGATTTTCAGCTGGGTGATCTACAGAGGAGAAATGCAGGTATAGGGTGGTCCTGAGCCAGTGAAAGGCTGTGGGGCTCAAGCTAACCACCTTGTCCTCCCAGGGCACCCCAATCAGGAAGTCCTGGGACCCAGGTCCCTTGCCCAGGAACTCTAGAGCCAGTGGGCATGAGGCAGGGAATGACTATGGGCAGATGCCCAGGTAGACAGGGGTGTGCATGGAGAGGCTAAGAGCCTTGGGCCTCAGTCTCCACCCCTGCAAAATGGGCTGGCCGCTAGGTGCATCGCGAGCTATGGCCCTACCCACCCGGTGGTTCTGATAGGCCGTCACAGCTGTGAACTGGGTCTCCGCAAAGATGAAGGACTTGAAGTTCTCCTGGGCGTAGCGCTCACTGTCCTTGCGTGGGTCCACGAAGACCACATGGAAACGGGGCTGGTAGCGGTGCATGGAGTTGAGAATGATCTGTAAGAGGGTGCAGAGTGGGTGTGTGGGAGTTGGAGTGGGGGCGGCAGCTAACCCTCATGGAGCCTGAAGCCTTTCTCCCCGTGGCGGAGAGATTGCTGGGGCCTGCCGGGCCTCAGTGATGCTGCAGGCTCTGAACTTGAGGGCCTGTGGTTCCGTGTCGAAGGCTTTGTGTCTGAGCAGCCTTGCCTCTCGGCTTTACCTTCAGAACCATCTCCCACGCACTGTCTCTGCGCCAGCACCGTCACTGTCTTTCATCTGACTTCCTCCAGTCGCCTCCTGGCTCCCTGCTTCCTGCCCACTGCATCCATAGCCTGGGCCTCACCTTTCTCCTGCTCTGGGGAGCCCTTCCTCAGACAGGGACTGAGGCTGCTGCGACTCCGGGCTGGGACACTGAGCAAGGGCCGTGGAGATATAGGCCTGAAGATGGAGCAAGCAGGAGTGAGGGTGGGAGGTCAAGGTGAGCAACCCAGGCCAGGGATCGTGGTCAGAGTCAGGGATCATGATGAGACCCCAGGACAAGTCAGAGGGCATGACCCTGAAGCAAGGGTCAGGAGTCGAGGCCGAGTTGAGGGTGAGAGGCTGGGGTTTGGGCAGCCAGGCAGGATGTCAGGGGCCAGACCGTGCAGTACCAGGAGTCCGGGTCACTCTCTCTAAAGCCCTTGGCAAAAGGGTTGCTGGCGATTTTCAGCTGGGTGATCTACAGAGGAGAAATGCAGGTATAGGGTGGTCCTGAGCCAGTGAAAGGCTGTGGGGCTCAAGCTAACCACCTTGTCCTCCCAGGGCACCCCAATCAGGAAGTCCTGGGACCCAGGTCCCTTGCCCAGGAACTCTAGAGCCAGTGGGCATGAGGCAGGGAATGACTATGGGCAGATGCCCAGGTAGACAGGGGTGTGCATGGAGAGGCTAAGAGCCTTGGGCCTCAGTCTCCACCCCTGCAAAATGGGCTGGCCGCTAGGTGCATCGCGAGCTATGGCCCTACCCACCCGGTGGTTCTGATAGGCCGTCACAGCTGTGAACTGGGTCTCCGCAAAGATGAAGGACTTGAAGTTCTCCTGGGCGTAGCGCTCACTGTCCTTGCGTGGGTCCACGAAGACCACATGGAAACGGGGCTGGTAGCGGTGCATGGAGTTGAGAATGATCTGTAAGAGGGTGCAGAGTGGGTGTGTGGGAGTTGGAGTGGGGGCGGCAGCTAACCCTCATGGAGCCTGAAGCCTTTCTCCCCGTGGCGGAGAGATTGCTGGGGCCTGCCGGGCCTCAGTGATGCTGCAGGCTCTGAACTTGAGGGCCTGTGGTTCCGTGTCGAAGGCTTTGTGTCTGAGCAGCCTTGCCTCTCGGCTTTACCTTCAGAACCATCTCCCACGCACTGTCTCTGCGCCAGCACCGTCACTGTCTTTCATCTGACTTCCTCCAGTCGCCTCCTGGCTGGTGGCCTTGCCTCCACCTCTGTCCGTCGTCCACATAGCAGTCCCAGCAAGCCGCATCATGTAGCCCCCGACTTAAACCCTCCTGTGGCTCCCAGCTAAGCCACAGTCCTCTCCACAGCTAACTGGCCCCACACCATCCGCCCCAACAGCCTCTAGAGGCTCACCTCCTCCCACTTCTCACTGTACTCCAGCCACACCGGGAGACTCCTTGCAGTCCTCCCAACACCACCCCCACATCTTCCCGCCTCAGGGCCTTTGCACTTGCCGTCCGCTCTACCCGGACACTCCCCTGTGGCGTGCATAGGCTCCTTCCCCACCACCACTTCCTTCAGCATCCTGTGCTTTCTGAATGGAGGTGCTCTCTCTCCAGCCCTGCTCCCTGGCTCCCTGGTATTTTGTCTTTGACACCTGCTGAGATAGGTGTCCAGCGTCTTCTGCATTTCTGGCTTACTGTCTCCTCCCATCCCAGGAGGTGAGTCCTGTGAAGGTAGGGACTTTGCTCGAATGTCATCAGTGTTACATTCCAGCATGTTCAACGGGCCTGGCCCATGCTGGGCCTTCCATCCCTGTCCTCAGAGAGGACAATGTCTGCGGGGTACCCCCTCAATTTTCCCACCTGTCTGGACAGCCCTCCCTGCTGCCCAACCCTGAGCCAGCTGGGCATGTCCCCCAGCCTTGGCCATCAGCAGTGGGTAGAGTGCAGGGCACCAAGGCCACTGGGCACCAAAAGCCCAGCCAGCCCTGGCACCAGACTTCGTCACAGTCAGTCCCAGCACCCATTTGGCCTGGCCCAGCCCTGCACTACTGGGGCCCTGGTCTCACGTGGCCGTTGTCATCTAGCAGGTTGTTGGTCAGCTTGAGCTTGTCGAAGGACACGATCTGACGCATCCACTGGGCACCCTTGGCTGGCGAGTCAGGGTGGAAGTGCACGCGGCCAGGCGTGGCCGGGTCTGCCTTGCCTGCCACCAGCCAGGCCGAGCTGTGAAAGGCATACCTGGGAACAGAGTGAGAAGGCGAGGGCTGTCCTAGCAGAGCCAGGCCTAACCAAGACTAGTGGGACAAAAGGGCTGTCACTGACCCCACCGCTGCCCACCCAGCCTGCTGAGTATCTTGCAGAGAAGGAACCCGAGGCTCAGAGTCCCTGTGGCTGCTCCTGGCTGCCAGGCATCAGGATGAGCCCTGCTGGACTGGGCTAGACCACTCCGCCAGCCCCAGGCTAGCCCACTGCCCACTGAAGCCTGCTGGCTGCCCTGAGCTGGGCTCCTTCCTACCGGCATGCTGTTGTTGCAGCTTCCTAGAGCTCCCTGGCAGTGCTTGGAGGGGCCCTGTCTCACCCTGGAGTGCACAGGGGTCTAATTCCTGCCTGAGCACTCAAGGTTGAGCCGTCCTCCCGGCCAGCCCAGACCTGTATCTCTTGTCATCCAGTGGGATGAAGTCCATGAGCAGGGCGTAGTCGGCCAGCGTGTCCATGCCCAGAATCTTCACCTGGAAGGTGGGGAACATCCTCCTGGTGTGTGGGGGGGTGCAGGTGCTCAGCAGCCTGAATGTGGCTCTAGCCTTGCCCCTACCCCACCCACTGCTCACACCTGCCCGCCTTGGTGACAATCATCTCCGTGCCCAGCTGGTTGAATTCCTCCCACAAGGGCTTCATCTCCAGCTGAACTGTCACGCTGGACACGCACGGGTTCTTGGGACCCTGCCCAGTGTTCTTGGCCGTGGCTTGGGCCCCTGTGGAGGTGGTGCAAGTGCCTGATGGGAATGACATCTCCAGTCGAGGCTCCCAGCTGGAGCTGGTCATGGGTAGGGCGTGAGTCTCTGATGGCGCAAGTACTCCAAGGCTGGCAGACAGGAAGGCTGGGAAGAGAAGAGGAGGGTATGGCCCCGGTCATCGCTCCCAGCCTCACTCATCACCCAGCCAGCCTCATCCTTTGGGCTCCACCTACATTTCCCTTCTCCAGGAAGCCCTCCCTGATTGCCAGGCATGTATTCTCATAAAATCCACTCAGTATCTCACTCAGCATCCCTCCACAAGGCAAGTGCTCACTTAATGTCTCCCAGCCAGCTGCTTAAGGGTGGAGACAGGGCCTGTCTTTTCACCTAGGGAATTTTTGAGCCATTCTGTAGCTATCTGGCCTTGAGCAAATTGTTTCATCTCTTAGAGCCTCAGTTTCCATATCTGTCACAGGGATTTTTTTTTAAATTTAATTAATTAATTAATTAATTTTTTAATTTGACCAGAGAGGGACAGAATGAGAGAGAGAGAGGAGTGAGAAAGTGAGAAAGCAAGCTGCCAGGGCCAGGAATTGAACCACAGTCGGCCATGTGGGAGTCCAGTGCCCTTAACCACCACGCCATCTGCTGGGCCCACAGGGGTTCTTAGTAGGGCTGATGTAAGGGTTAGCGATGACAGACAGAGGGCCTGGTTCCCCATATTATAGTTCACATGCATGTGAGGTTTGGGTGGGGCCTTTCCCAGCTCCTTGGAGACCTGCCGCCTGGGGCTGTTTAAGGACTGCTGAGAGGAGACCCATTAATCATGAATGGTCCACCCCAGGCCTGGCTCAGCTCCTGCCCCAGAGCCCATGCTCACATCTCTGACCTACACTATTTTCTAAAACTCATATTTTGATCTGCAATCTCGGCACAAGCCTGGTCCAAAAGCTTTGCTACCCTCTACTCATTTTTATTTTATTTTAATTTGGTTTTAATTTTTTATTACCAGAGGGTGCACATGCACTTGCCAGAGACAGAGAGAATCGCCCCACAGTGGGGCGCGGTCACACCGCAGTCCTTTTCCCTCCATTTCTCCACCCCGTTGAGTGGCATGGTGCTTAAAGTGACTGGATCGCACATGGCCAGGTGTACAGTTCAAGTCCTAGACCTGGTGGCGTGGACAGCTTGCCAAGTACCTGGGCCTGCATGTCCAGACTCCTGAGAGGAGAATGGAGGAGAGGGACTGTGGCATGGCCATCTCCCCAGGGGTGCCCTTTCACTCCCTCTCCCCACTGTCCACCCCTTTGTCTCTCTCCAGTGAGCATGCAAGTCCTCTAGCAAATTTAAAAAAAAAAAAGAAAAGAACATGGCAAGTCCTTGTCTAAAAACACCATGCACACTAAAAAAAGGGTTAAAATGATCAGTTTTATGTTATATATGTTTTACCACAATTACATTCCTTAAGTAATTATTTATTCCATTTTATTCATTATTGTTATTTTTCAATTTGACCAGAGAGAGGCAGAGAGGAGAGAAAGTGAGAAAGCAAGCTGCCAGGTCTGGGACTCGAACTATGGTCAGCCATGTGGGAGTCCAACGCCTTAACCATGTCACCTGCTGGCCCCCACAATTACATTTTTTAAATGAAAAATTATTCTGAAAAACAGCTATTATTTTACAGCAACCCTGTAAGGGGCTGAGGACCTAGTGGGAACATGGGAGCCACAGCAGGTGGGAGTCAAGGAACAAAAGGCTTCCATTCAGCAATGCTCCCTGGCCAAGTGCCCCCAACTAGGACATTTACAAGGGTCCGTGGGACCAGGGACCCCCTGAGTGGGGGGTGGGGGCATGTTTGATGCTGGCTGGCTGGACACACCGACAGGGACAGATGGGTGAAGGGAAGCTCCTGGGGAAGAAGAGCCACTGACCAGGTACCCGGTGGGGAGTGCCTGGTGAGAGCAGTCCAGAGAACAGGTGAGAGGTGGCCCTTCATACAGCCCCAGAGATCTCTGCAGTCTGGAGGGCAGGAGGGCCTCTCAGTGGGATTGGCCATGTCAGGTCTGAGGACCTTGGGATGGGAAGGAAGGATGGATGGGCTGATGTCCCCACTCCCTGGGGCCAAGTCATTGGACAGGCAACTGCTTGTCACTTGGCTGCCCTGCTGGGGCAGGTGTGTCATCCAGGAGCCACAGCTAGCCTCCAAGGACCACAGCGGAGGGGCTTATGACTTCCCTGGCCTTGGGGCTTTGCAGGTAGTCACCAGCTCCCAGCTGCCCATCCCAGTCAGTGTGCCACCCCTTGGCACTTCCAGGAACTCTGGGGAGGTGCTGGTCCTCTGTGTGGTCTCTCTAGAAGCCAGCACCCCTCAGGCTTAGAGGGTGACAATTTCCCAGAGCCATTGCATGTCAGATCTTGAAGGGAAGTTAGGGGCTTCTTGTCCAGTCTTTCATTCCAGCCTTTAAGGGGCTGAAACACAGAGAGGTCCAGGGACAGGTTCAAAGTTACACAACCTGAGACTCATCTCCCAGAAATAGCTTAACCTCCCAGCCTCTCAGCACTCCCATGATTGCACGTGGCTGCGAGCCCTACAGCCCTGCCCTGGTAGGACCTGAGACCTCAGCCTGGAGCGTGCCTGTCCCACCGTATATCCAGTGAGGCCCCATTGCTCCCATCCTGCCTCACCCACCCTGGAACCTGAGCCCACTCAAGAGGCCACCTCTGTTCTCCGTTCCATACCTGCCATCGGGAGAGTTCGGATGTCCTGGAGAAGAAACCCTGCACGGCTGGAGCTGGGCTGCAACTGCCAACCCAGGATTCCTGCTTGCCCAGACGGGTGGCAGCGACTTCCAGCCTCCTGGTCCACTCAGCACCCACTTAGCACCACAGCTCAGCTCTCGGGTGCTCACACAGGCCCCCAGTCTCTCAGCAGAAATGTCCTCCCCTCAATCATCCTCCGCCCACATCCCCAACGTCCTGGTTCTTCCACCTGAGCCAGGCACTTGATCAGACCCTGTCTGTGGGGTGTCTGGCCCTTTCTCCAAGCACCCTCAGACTGTACTGTCAGGCTGAGCCATGGGCTGGGCTCGCCCATCTCCAGGGGCGGGCGCTATGCATGAGGAGGGCAGGTGGGAAGGCTCTGACGTTGCAAAGCCCCCTCTTCTCCTCCCGCTCCTCCCTCCTCGCTCCCTCCTTCTCCAGCTAAGAGCCCCCAGCCATTCCTGATCAATGGGTCCAGGCAGGGGCGGGACATCTTGAGGTTTGGGTGTCTGCAGGGGTGCAGGCCTGGCTGACTGGAGGCACTGGGCCGAATGAACCTCAGGGAGGCTTCTACAGTGACAGCAAATTGAGGGCTGAATGACAGAGGCAGTTTCCTCTCCCAGGACCCAGACCCCTGACCTACTAGGCCTGCTAGACCCTGGGCCTGCTAGGCCTGCCACTGTGGAATTATCTGAAGAAACCTGAGCAGGAAATGCGAGTGGACAGTGGCAGCAAGCACGGCAGTGGAACCCCAAGACTGGACAGAGGAAATCCAGGTCCTCCTGAGGCTTGGTGCAATGAGCTGTGGACATTGGCAGGTCCCTGACAGTCTCGGTGCCTCAGTTTTCCCAACTGACCTAAGAGCATAATCTCATCTGCCGGGGATGGTCCAGACCTGCCTGTGGATAGTGGCTTTGGCTGCTGATGCCTAAATTCCCGCTTTGGGGTGGGAGGAGAAATGCTAATGCCAGCCCAGATCAGAAACCTCGGCAGGACATCCAGTCTGCAGGGAGGGCTGTCTGTCCTCTCTGGCCTGACTGACCACTTTCTCCAGGCTGCCCTGGGCTGGACATTCAGGGACACACTGCTCACTGGTCAGGAAGGGAGGGGCAGCATTCCCCAGAGCTGCTGCCAGCCCCTTTGTCGAGAGTGGATCATCCTCTCTGGGCGCAGCTGTGGGGAGGAAGGCAGCCGTCAGCTCTGGGTTTACTGCGAGGCAAAATGGGGTGCCCTGTGCAAGATGGAGGGTTCCGGCAGCTCGTGGAGGCCACTCAGGGAGGGTGGCTGTGCCACCCTGTCCCAGGATTCATAGCATGACAGAGATGTTGGGGGACTTTGGGGACCAATGTCAGCTGTCATGGCTCCCTCTCTGCTCAGACATCCACGGGTGGGCCAGCACGGGCTTCTGCTGGCTCCTGACATGTGTATGCATGCGTATTCCCCCACACACGCACCTGAGCACCCCAGCATTGCACACATGCCCTCTAAGGCCCAATGACTCACAGGTGCGCACACGCACGGATTCACGGCAGACAGTCCGTGAGCACACACGCCCTGCATGCACACACCTCGTACCCGTCCCCAGCTGTTCTGCCCTTCCTGCCGGAGGCACCTACTGGCCCCTTGCCCCCTCATCCATCTTGCCTGCCAGCCCGTCCCTTGTGCCCCCATATCCTTCACACCTTCTCATCTTGCTGCTCAATACCAGCAGGTGGCTGGCAACCGTGGCCGCGGGGAGATGGATGAGCCAGGCAGAGTGTGGAGGGCCCAGCCGTGATGACAGAGCTCAGGCTTCGGCACCTGCTCCCCTGCCCCTGCTCCCAGCCATAGGCCTGTCGGGTTCGGTTCGGATGGGGCAGTGCAAGGCTGCGGCCAGCCCCATCCGGCTCTGCCTGGGTTGTCCTGCCATGAGCACTCCATAGGGTGCCTCAACCAGGATCAAGGGAACTCCAGGCAGCCCTGTTCCAGCTTCCTCCTCAGAGGCCACTGTGGGGTGTCCTGGGATGGTGGGGGGAGTAGGGATCCACGGCCCCAACCCAAGGCCTCTCCTCCCCGTGTCTTTGTAGCTGGATGGGCTGTCCCCAGTGGGGAAGGCCTTGCTAAGCTGTACCCTCCCCAAACCCTGACTCCCCTGAGCCACCTGGGCAAGGGGCCCATTAGACATCTGGAAATCACATCTGGCTGTGCACCCAGATACACACAGATCCCCTCAGGAGAATGCCCGAGGTACTGAGGCTCACTCATTAGTGGGAAATGCACACATATGAAAGCACATGGGACAGGCACATACATGGGCGTGCACATATGTATGCAAACATGGGCATGTGCCTCTGCTCTCCCCAGGCCATCCCTCTGGGCTCAGGGTTGTAGAGAGATTGGAGGCCCCCATCTGGGTGCAGCCTCCTCTGGAAGCCCCTCTTTGGGCTGTAGGACTGTCCTTCTCCAAGTCTTCTTCACACTGCAAGATCTTTGCCCCTGTAGGACTGTCCTTCTCCAAGTCTTCTTCTGCAAGATCTTTACACCCTGGGCACAGAGACAGCCACCACTGGTTCCAGGACACACAGCTACACTGGGCCAGACCTGCCCCAGATCCTGTAGTCACCCTTTCCTTTCTCCATGCATATCCCAGGTCGAGAGGGGCCGTGCAGGACACAAACCATGAACCCCAGGACGTTTTCCATTTTATAGGACGGGAGACTGAGGCCCAACAGCGGGGGCCTGGCAAGGGACATAGTGCCCAGGAGGTGGTGAGGAGGGCCCTGGACTCAGAGCTGCACCTCGGGGCGTTGTTCAGGTGGGAAGGCACGGCGGGGCTGAGGAGGCTCGGGTTAGGGAGTGGGGGTGGAGGCAGAGGCCAGAGCAGGCAGGGCAGGCACGGAGAAGGTGAGCTTCTCAGTCTGGAAGAAGGCCGTGCCCTTCTCGTAGTACGCAGCCTCGTTGATGAACACAGGGTACACAGTGGAGTCGCCCTCGTAGAGCACGTCCTCGCCGCTGAACATCTGGAAGATGGGAGCACCGGGCCGCAGTGGCTGAAAGTCTTGGTCCTGGAGGGGAGTCAAAGGCCGAGGTTCGAGGTTACTGGGGCGTCGGTGAGGGGTGACCCCAGCTGGCAGGACCCAAGAGCTGTCACTCACTCACTGCCATGCCCACCTAGCCCTTGCTTTCTCAACCAGTGTGACAGGGGGACTGGTGAGGGGCCAACCTGCTCTGTGTCTAGCCACCTTGGAAAGACGTGTCACTGTGGAAGTGCAGCCCGATGGTGACTGACACAAATATAAATGCCTGGCTTTAAATGCTTGCTAGCTCTGTGACCTTGAGCAACCCACTCAACCTCTCTGTTCCTTAGTTGCCTCATCTACAAAACAGGGATCACAATAGCACCTCCTCGCAATTGGAGTCTTCTTTCTTTTTTAATAGTTTGCTATAGGGTGCACATGCTCACCAGGGAGAGACAGAAAAAGAGAGAGAGAGGGAAAGTGAGAAATCCCCTCCAGGGGGATGGCCACGCCACCATCCCTCCTCCTTCATTCTCCTCTGGGAATTCCAGGCATGCACGCACACGTGCCTGGAGTGTTTTTCAAACTGCTGGGTCTGAGTGGAGTTGGCCTTGTGGGATCCAGAGCCTTAACCTCCACTCCACCTGCTGCCTTCATTCTGCGTCTTAAATGTAACAGACATTTAAGACAGTGCTTAAGACAGTGACTGGCACACAGGAAGTACCATAGAATTTACTAAATCATAATACAACCCGTAGGTGACATCATCCAAAATGACTGGCGTTACTGACACCTGGAAGGCGGCTGGCTTACGTCCCTCTAGCCCTAGCACTGCAAGGACGTGCTCCCCACACCAGAATGTCATCACAAAGAAAATAATGCTTGAAAATAAAGCCGGGGGTGGGGGAAAACGGAGGCCGTGGGACTGCACAAGACACAAGAGCCTTCTTTCGTGCCTGTTTATTTATTTGTTGTTGTTTGGCTAGAGGGCACATGGGATTGCCATCGAGAGGCAGAGAGACAAAGCACGCAGGATGAGCACGAGCGGCCCAGGAAAGGCAGTAGAAAGAGATGGGGGCCAGAGAACAGCCTCCTGGTTCCTTCCTAATGCTCAGGTGTCGGTGATGTTGTAAAAGGCTTGGTCTCCCCCTCTGGGCCTCAGTTTCCCCTGACACGCCCCACCCAAGGCTGTGGCCCCAGGACCTGCCCCTTCTCACCCACACCCACCTGCAGCTGAGGATGCACGAAGCCTGCCAGGCCCCCGTCGTCAGTGCGCGGGAAGTCCACGGCACCCAGAGTTCTGTAGGCTTCCATCTCGAAGGCAGGAAAGGCAGTGCCTGTGTGGGAGAGATGGCGTGTGTGAGCCAGGCTCCAGAACAGACGGTCTCAGCCCACCAGTGAGCCTGGTGACCTGGCCCCTGAACCAGGCCCTCTCTTCTCTGGGCCTCAGTTTCCTGCAAACCCCCGGGGTCTCACCTTGGTTGAAGAGCTCGATGAAGTCCAGAGCTGCAGCCACCAGGGCCCTCATCCGGAGGAAGATGTCAGCCCGTAGGACGCCCTGTGGCTGAGGGCCCAGCTCCAGGGCTAGGGACCAGGAGGGGAAGGGTCAGGCCAGGAGTGTTTTTGGGCCCCAAGCCTCAGGACTGGCCTCTGAGAGGCCCTACCCCTCTGGTACCTGGCCCCACCCCATCTTCTGGCCCTTCCCTCCCACCCCTTCTGGCCCCACTGTTCTCTGGAGCCCTGCCCACCCATTCCGTTCTTGGCCACTGAGTCCACGCTGTAGGTCTCCACCCCAGGCAGCTGGTACAAGAACACCCGACAGGGCAACTCCGGGCTCTGCAGCTGCGGGCAGGAGGGGTGGGTCAGGGCCCCAGGCCAACTTGGGAGGAGAAGCTTTGTCAGGGAAGGAGGTGAGTATAGGAGAAGCACAGGGCACCACCATGCTGGCCTGGTCTCCTCCATCCTCTGGTGTGAGGTGGGGTGGTCCCAGAGGGCCTGGAGTAGCTGCAGGTGGCAGGCCCCCAGGAGTGGGGCCAGGAGAAATGGCCCAGGGAGGAGGAGGGGCCACACAGGGCAGACACCTGCATTGTCCCCTCTACCCTGCCCTCCCTCTGCCCTCTGGGGGCTGTGTGCCAGGGGCTGGGGCCACCTGGAGGTGGTGACACATGTGCATGGCAAAGATGTTGTGGGCAGCTTCGGCGATGAGGCAGGAGCCCATGTTGGCTGTGGTGTTGTGTAGGTCGAGGACGAAGTCAAAGGCTCGGCCTGAGGCTTTGGGCCCCAGCAGCTGGTTCAGCTCTCGGGCTCTTGTCACCTCGTATGGATCATCCGGGGTGGCTCTGGCACTGCAGGGGCAGAAATGGGGAGGACACCCCTCCCCCAGTCCTCTCAGTCATCAGTGGTTTAGCTGGGGGAGGGGCAGCCTCAAGCGGCCAGCAGGAGGCCCTGCAGGAGACACTCAGAGCAGCTGGAGGGCTCTTGAGCCAGGTGGCTGTGCCTACCCTGCCCAGGGCCGTTGGTGGCTCCCGCTTCACCCAGCCCTACATGCCAGCCTTTGTGCCTCTTCCTGTTCTCACTGAGCCACACTTCCCAAGCCCCAGACTGGTCTTACCCCCCGCCAGGACTTTGCCTGGGCTGGGCCTTCTGCTGGAACCTTCTCCTCACTTCACCTGGCTAACTTCCACTCATCTTTTGGGACTTGGCTAAGGCACCACCACGTCTAGGAGGTCTTCCCTGACTGCTCTTGGCCTGGGTAGATGCCTTGTGCAGCCCCCTCCCCACCCCTGTATTTGGCCTCCTGACTTGTGATTGCTGGCTTCTTCCTGTCTCCCCTATAGGCTGAGGCCAACAGCTTGGCTCTATTTCTCATTTGCTCACCCTGGCCAGAGCCCAGCCTAGAGATGGGGCTGGGTGAATAGCCATTGAAAGAAGGTGCAGACATGGTTGGGTCACTAGACAGGTGCACAGAGCCCGTGAGGCCGATGTGAAAGAAGCCCTGGGTCTGGGGAACCCAGAGGAGGCCCCGGCCCAGTCTCAGAGCTTCCTGAGGTGACATCGATCAAGATGTCTCTAAACTGAAAAGGGAGGAACACGCAGCTCAGGCAGAGGGAGAGCAAGAGCGAAGACGGGGGAGGGCCCTGCTGGCAGCTGGAGGGAGGCCGTGCTGGGTCTCTGCCCTGCTGTGAGGCCAACCCGGGGGTGCGGGCACTCACGTGAGGAAGGTGCTAGTGAAGGTGCGGTTGAGGTCGCGGCCCACGTAGCGGCGGCAGGCGGCTGTGGCCTCCGGGTTGGCCAGCACGGGCATGGCAGAGAAGCTGGGTCTCTGCAGCTCACTCGGGTCGCGAAGCCAGTGCCGGGCCAGGTAGACGCCAGACATCTCGTTGCCATGGGTGCCCCCAGTCACAGCCACGCGGCGCAAGGGCTCCCGGGGCACAGGCAGCGAGCACATCCCTGTGCTGGGGGGAGAGCCTGGTAGGGCTCACGCCTGGGAGGCCTAGGCACAGACACACACCCGGTGCTCCAAGCCAGGATGGTGGCAACAAGCTCCCGAAGGACCCAAGGAGTCCCCACAGCAGGGCGGCCTCTCCAGATGTTGCCTGGAGTCCCCACAGCAGGGCGGCCTCTCCAGACGTTGCCTGCATGGCGGGGCTCCCTTTAAGGGTGAGCATTGCCAGCTCCACCAGGCGACTTTTCCACTCCTTTTGGAAAGAAGTTTCTTTTTCCTAAGTTGAGAAAAGGGGCCAGGCTTTCGGGGAGAGGGCTCCCCGAGGTACATTCTGCAGGAAGAGGACTCTGCTTCCATTTTATACACAGGAAAACCCAGAGTATCATAGGAGTTCGCTACAGAGTGTGGGTTCCGGGTCAGCCCTGAGCCCGCCTCGCCCTCCTGCATACTCCTCTGAGCTTTTGGGAAGAGGGTGCTTACCTGCAGATGAGGTCTGGGCCCCTGGCCACCAGGGCTAGAGCATTTACCCCCTAGACAGAGGGTATTTATGGCCCTGGAGATCCTTGAGCAGGAAGTGTTTGTGGCCAATAGGCGAGAGCAGGGGGCGGGTGTGATGGGCCGAGGTCCATCTAGCCAAAGGTCGAGGTGCTGAGTTCTCCCCCACTTTCCCAGGTTCACCCCATACTGGCGCTTCTATGGCTCATTGAGTTAGGTTCCAGTCCTTGCCGGCCAGGAGTAGGGATGGCCCCGCCTCCAAGGGCCAGTGTGCATGGCCTTGGAAAATGGCAGGGACTCTTTAAGACAACTCCCCCAGGAGAAGATCTGGGTTTGCCAGAGGAATCCAGCCAAGGGTGGGTGGGGCCCAGAATCCAGTCCTGAAGCTCAACCTACTGGCTAAGCCAAGGGCTGAATCCCCGCAGAGGATTCCTTCATGCTTCCAGGAGGTGGGCCTGCAGGGGGGTGTGGCCGGAGGTTGGTTCTGGCTGCCCCTGGAGCAGAAGGCTGAAATTACTGTGGAGGTGTGCACTGAGTCCCCTTCCTCCACCACTTCACCACCTAGATGGCCAGTCACTCCCAGGTCACCTAACCCTAAGGGCTGTGCACAGTGGGGTCCCACTTTCACAGGTCTTTGATGCTTGAAACAAAATTTCATCCAAGAGTTTCATTTGTTTACAGGAACAGGGGAACAAATGACTCGGTTTGCTCCGTTTGGGAAATGGCTCTCGATGTCTGTGGAAACTGAGGCTCAGACAGAATGTGCCAGAAAACACAGAGATGGGGCTAGAACTGGAACCCGGGATGTCCAATCCAACCCCACCCTCTCCCTGCTGCCTCCCAAGGTGGGGGGAGGACAAAGGTGAAGGCTCTGCACCCAACTCCAGAGCCCGGGCCTTCGGACTGGCTCAGCTGCCTGCTGTGGGGAGCCCCTACTATACACAGGCACTGGGGCCTGAGGCGGGCCTCTCCTGAGGCCTCCGTCCGGCTCTCCCAGGCCTGCTTCACTACTCCACTTAGGTCCTCTCAGGTCCTTCCGGCGGAGGGCTGGGGTTGGTAGTGGCTCTACTGGCCCGGCCCTCTAGGCTAACCCTCTTCAAAGCCATTCCTCTCCTCTGCGGCCTCAGTTCTGCCTCCTCTCACCCCACCCCCATCCTCCCACCGCGGGAGCTCCCGCGAGCTCAAGCCCGGGCGTTGTGGGACATGGTTCCTTCCTGCTCCCACCAGGCCGGCTGGGACCCTGCTAGGGTCTCTGGAGAGGCAGGTGATGTGTGAGAGTGTGAGGCTGGGGCTCCCTAAGAACTCCCTCCAGGGCACGCCCCTCCTGGAGCTGAAGCCCTAGCAAGTGACGGCAGGGCCCTCACTGGAGATCACACTGAGGTGCACTGAGCCCTTCCTCAGGCAACAAGACCTACAGGTGGTCGTGCAGTGCTGAGCAGGTGGGCCTGTCTGCACTCCCAGTCCCTGCTCTGCTGGGGGCGGACCCAGGGGCCTGCTCTTCAAGCCTCTACTCTGAGTCCCCACTCCCACCCCCAGTCCAAGCTGCAGGCAGTCTGATGATGTGGGTGGGTGCCAGGAAAGAGGGCCTGCTCAGCAGACCTAGTTATTTTGGGGGCTGCTGGGAGCTAGCACACTTCCTGCCAGGAGGTGCTGGTCCCCTGGCCCTGGGGAGGACAGCAAAAGAGGGTGCTAGAGAGTTTCACTTCCCTTGGTTGGGGTCCAGCTTCCCCATTTCAGTAGATGTTCACAGAATTGGTAGGGGGCCTGGAGCTGGCACGGGAACCCTGAGGAGTAGCAGCCCCCACCCCGCTGAGTGTGCACCTGTGTGTGTGTGCACGTGCACTCGTGTCTGTGAGAGTCTGCAGCTGAACAGCTTCGTGGGCATGCCTGTCATATGCCAACGGTGTCCAGGTCACAGCAGTGAGGACAGTCTGGAAGTGGCCCTGCTGTGTCACACCTCTGAGTTGTGGAGGTAGGCCTTCCCTGGCTCTGAGCTCCCCATCCCTGGCAGGCTGTGTGACTCGGGCAGAGTCGGTGCCCTCCCTGTGCCTTGGTTCCTGCCTGTGTGACTGCTGAGGGCCATTGGGAGGAGTGTCAAAGCACAGACACCAGCTTCGAAAACTGGCCCACCAGAGGTCACCGGCACGTGTGAGGCAGGGGACAGGAACATCATAGGGACCTATGGATTCAACTTCTTCACTGCATTTGGGGACACTGAGGCTCAGAAAGGGTGAGAACCTAAGAAAATGCGTAGATTTACAAAGCTTGACCCAGGAGGGCCATGTGACCTGGAGCCACTGGTTCAGTGGCTTCGGAGACCCCCTGCCTGACCGTCCACCCTCCTGCCTGGGCTTTGACCCCCTCCTGCCAACCTCCCTTCAGTCTCCCTAGTCTGCTTGGCATTCCACCCTTCTCCACTGGCTTCAGCCTCCAGCTGTGGGAGACCTGGCGCTCAGCCCGCCTCCTCCAGATGACCTCATTGCCCTCTGGTCTCATCCCCATCTGTCTGCTGGTGACGCCCAAGTTCACACCCAGACACAAGCTCTGTCTGTACCCACCTGCTCATTGGACAGCCTCGCCTGGGTGGCATCTCAGACTAGGTTATCCTGAAACCAACTCTTACCATGGGGTGGGGACAACAGATCAGGGCCCTGTGGCCCATGTCAAGCGTCTGGTCCTGGAGGGCCTCCAAAGTGCTGGAGGTGCTTGGTCAGGATTGCCTTTCTTTTCTTTTCTTTTCTTTTTTTTTTTTTAAGTCTTTTTAAAAAATAATTATTTTATTTAGCTTTATTTATTTATATTTGACCAGAGGAGGATAGAGAGAGAGAAAGAGAGAAAGCAAGAAAGCAAGCTGCCAGGTCCAGGACTTAAACTGCAGTTGGCCATGTGGGGATCCAGCGCCCTTAACCACCACGCCATCTGCTAGCCCCCCCCCTTTTTTTTTTAGAGATTATTACCTTAGGGCGAGTGCACTCGCTAGAGAGATACAGAGACAGAGAGACAGAGACCGTGAGAAGGAAAGTGAGAAATCAGCCTCCAGGGGGGACGACACGCTGCAATCCCTTCTCTATTCATTTCATTTCTTTTTTTTTTTGAGAGGTTTTTGCTATAGGGCACGTGCGCTCGCATGCCCTTCATTTCTCATTTTCTCGCAGAAAGCGAGAAATCAGCCCCCCGGGGAGATGGTACCCCTCAATCCCTTCTCCTCCCTTCTCTTCTCAGGATCTTGGACATGTGCACACACACACTCAGCATGAGTTTAAGCCACCGGCTCCAGGATTTGAACCATGGTCAAACACATGGGAGTCCAGCAACATAGCCATTATGCTAACTGCTGGTCCCCTCCTCTATTCATTTCTAGAGGACCACTCTAGCTGCTGTGTGGAAGCCACCGAGGGGAGTGAGCCAGCAGGGGTGAGAGTGAGGGGCTGGGCAGGGACAGGGCAGGAGGTTGACAGCTCCACCTGGTCTAAGGAGCAGGCGTATTCAAGAGATGCTCCTAGGCAAGTGAGATGAAAGGGACAGACAGGCATTGTCCACAGGGGTTGAGGGGCATCTGGAAGGTCCCTGGAGGGTGGAGTTGCTGGCACCAAGGGAGAGACAAGGAGAGGGCCAGGCTGAGGTCTAGGAGTCAACAATGAACTTAATTCTGACCACACAGAGTTAGAGACCCACAAGGGCAGAGGGTGTACCTGCATCGAGAGCCCTGAAGACAGGTCTGTGACGGCCGGACGGTCACCAAGAACACTGACTAATTCTCAGGGCTAAGGGCCTGGACATGAGGCCCCCCAGGTGGCTAATGTCAAAGGACTCAGGGCTGGACGGGGAAGGGAGAGGGGGCGGAACCAGTGAAGGTGAGACAGTGCCATCTCTCGCCTCCCTCTCTTATGCATACATGCCCCTGCTTCGTTCACTCACGCTCAGACATTTGGGGGGGGCACTGTCACACAGCGGGCACATCACCCAGACAGACAGCATTTCTGCCTCATGAGTCTCACTGTCTGCTAAACGAGACTCCTAACTGGTGCAGCGGGCCCAGACCTTAGCCCATGACACTCAGACTCTTTCTGTTCCTCCAAAGCACATTGCGAGCCCTCCCAGCCCCGCCTACAGGGAATCAACCTTCTGTCCCCCATCCCTGATTGGTGTCGGGAAAGAATCTGTCATTTCTAGTGTACTTGAAAACCAGGAGGCAGGGCTGGAGGCTGGTTCCCAGCAGCCCCCATCTTCATTATAACTGTCAGCTTCAGGGTGCCATGATGGCTGGCCTGCTCCCCTGTTGCCACATGGAAGCCCTTCCCTACAGCTAAACCTGACATCCCACAGCACAGTGAAGCACGAGGCTCAGGGACCCCTGCCCCTAACTGCCTCTCCAGCTTCTCACAACAGCTTGTCCCTCCATGCCACTCTGGACTGTTCTGCCCACGCCTCCTTGCTGGCCTGGCGTCCTGGGGTCAGGTGGGAGGAGGACTCACCCCATATTCCTGGTTTTCTTTCTTTTTCTTGTTATTTGCTATAGGGTGTATGTGCTTCCCAAAGAGAGAGATAAAGTGAGAAATCACCCCCAAGGGGAATGGCTACACCACAATTCCTTCTCCTCCATTCTCCTCTCAGGATTTTGGGCATGCATGCACACACATGCAGCATGTTTTTCAAGCTGCTGGGTCCAGGACAAGAACCGCACAGTTTGCCTTGAGATAGCTAGCCATCCTAACCACCATGACACCTGCCTGGCCCTGTCAGTTTTCTTTTCTTCTTTTGTACTTATAAGAGTGTGTGTGCTTGTCAGAAAGAGATAGTAAGAGAGAGAGAGAGAGGGAGAGAGAGGGAGAGAGCACCCCCATGGGGTGTAGTCACACCACCATCCCGTCTTCTCCATTCCTCCAACCTGTCAGATTTGGTGCACGCATGCCTGGCATGTTCTCAGCTGCCAGGGCTCGGACTCAAACTGCATGATTGACCATATGGAATCCAGCTCCCATAACCACTAGGCCACAGGGCCAGCCCTGTCTGTTTTCTTAGCGACCCCTTCTAGACCATGGCCAATTAATACAGTGGGACCAGCATTTATGGCTATACCTAACTCCCCAGTAGGACCCTGGGACCAACCCTAAGCCACCCAGCAGCAGGACACCATAATTGCCAAACAAGGAGAGGATGCTGTCATAAACTTCAAGGCTACGATGTGTCTCTGAGAAGCTCTGGGACATGTGTGACCAGGGCCGCCTCTGCAGCCAGGGCCTTGGTGCCCAAGGCTGGCTCAGCTGCGTGGGAATCCCAGGGCTGGGTCGACACATGTGATCCCCTAGATTCTCACACCAGGGCTAAAGGGGCCGATGAAACCTCTATCTACAGACAAGACTGAAGCCCAGGGGAGTTAAGCCACTGGCTTGCCCAGTGGTGCCCAGTGACACTCTCAGTGCCAGCAATGAGATGCAGAACCCAGTTTTCCAGGGAGAGAGCTGTGTGGGGAGGGGCAGGCTGCTGTGTGGGCCAGGCAGGGTGCAGTGACCACCACGGAATTCCAGCTGCATTTCTGGGGGAGGCAGTGCACTTCGGAGTTGGGGCTGGAGCAGAGGTGAGGGGCGTGCTTGCCTAGAGGAGAGAGCGGTGTGGACAGAGGCTGGGAAGAGCTCATGTGGCTGGAGGGACACAGGCAGGGCATGGTCTTTGTTCAGCGTTTGGATGACTCTGTCTCCAGGACAGGCCTGGGTAGCCGTGGGCAAGGGAGCAAAGGGCTGGCATGGAGAGGCTCGGCAGACGTTTGGACCTCTGACCGCTCTAGGACAGCCTCCCCAGGGTAAGGAGAACCTGCTTTCCCAGTCGAGGTAGTCATGTGACTCTGTTCTGCCAATCAGAGGCCCTTGGAGTCTGCAGTCGGGGGCAGAGTGAAGAAGCGGGCAGGGCATGGAGCCATCTTTTGGCTAGACTCGGGGAGTTAGGGCAATTCCCAGGGGCGCTGGAGGACTGTACTTCCCCTCAGGTCACTAGCCTCGTTTTCCTGTGAGGGGTGCAGAAGCCACTGAAACAAGACTGGGTGACCGGAAGTGGGCGCCCGGGGTGAGGGCTGGGAAAAGAGTAGGGGCTTGTCCTGTGGACCACACCCGCTCTGCCTAGCAGTGCCCACCCCCACCTTGGTGAGAGCCCACTAACGCTCAGCTCTGCCTCTGCTTGCCCATGCCAACTCAGCCCTGTCTCTGTACCTCAGGTTCCCCTGTGTCAGATGAAGTGGCCCGATGTGGATTCTGCCCACCCTGCCCCCTCCCTGGGATTTGAGAGCAGGGATTACGGATGGGCAGACATGTGCACACCCTCGCCTGTGCCCACGGCAGGCGTCACCCGTCAGTCACGCACTCCTTCCTATTGATTCCACGCACGGCGTCGAGGTCCTTGTCAATGACACTTCGGGAAGATACCACCAGTTGGGCAGATCTGAGTTCAATAGCGGATCCCTCTGTTCAGACTCAGCAGCCCAGGCCGGTGAGGCTGAGCTGTTCACATAGGCTCTTTGGGGACCCCATGTATAGATCTGACAAAGAGACTTCTCCAACCACACAACCTGCCCAAGCCTGGGAAGGGGATGTCTCTCTACCACCAGGCATGTCTAAGCAGAGGGACGATGAAACTGTCAGGAGACTGGGGAGGGCACTTTGGCCTCAAAAAGCCAAGATTGGCCACATAGAGGTCCTGCCTGGCTCAAGGTATATTCAGACAAAATGCAGGAGTGGAACTTCGGGCCCTGCAGAAGACGTGCCTTTCAAGGACCATCGCGTGCCTGGGCAGAGGCTGGCAGCCCAGGGTAGGTCAGAGCCAGGCAGCTAAGGGCAGTGGGAGGGAGGGGCGCTGGAGGTGGAAGGGCGCTCACAGGAGGGAGCAGCTCTGGCTCAAGGACCAGCTGAGCAGCTGCACCTTCATGTCTGTGTAGGGCGGGTAGCGCAGATCGTTGACCTTCTCCATCCCAGCGCAGCGCAGCAGGCAGGCGCGGTGGTGGGAGAAGGTGTCGAAGGAGAACTTGCCGTGATACCGGCCCATCCCGCTGGCACCTGTACGGGAGCACAGAACTCAGTGGTCAGGCCCTCAGCGGCCACCGCACAGGATTCAGACCCAGACACAGCCAGCCACCCAACTGGGATCTAGGTGGGCGACTTCGCCCCTTTGATCCTCAGTTTCCCCATATGCCCAGTCGGTTAAGTAGGAGGCCCTGAGAGGTGGAGAACTCACTCCCGAGCCTGGGGACACCAGGTTTGGGACAAGATTGGCAGCCAGAGGTCCAGAGCAGGGATTCTGGAGCCAGACTGACTGGGGTTGAACCCCGTGTCTGCCATGAGCTAGCTGTGTCATGTTGGGAAGTGACACTGCCTCTGTGTGCTTCAGTCTCCTCCCTAGTGACAGCCTAGGGGTGTGGCGTGATTGAGCTAGTGCTCAGACCCGTAGGTGTGGTAAATGCTGTGTTGTCATAACTTCTGCACATCTAGGCAGGAGGCCTGTACGGACCCCACCTGCATGGACTAGGGGGTAATCAGGGAGGGCTTCCAGGAGTGTGTGAAGCCCGAAGGACGTGAGTTTACCAGATGAAGGTGAGTGGGAACAGGAGAAACCAGCCATGCTGGCAGGACATATGGAGTATTAGGGGGCCCTGGACAGAGCTCAGAGTGGTAGGAGCAGCAGGCAGGAAGGTGGGGGCAAAGGAGCATGGAGTGGACCCCAGCCAGACCAGGAAAGGCTGGCCTCAGACAGCTGTGTGCAAGGGAGACTTAGACTCTCAGGGGACTGGGAGCTTTTCCTTAGGGAAGTGACCTGGTACGTTTTTCACAGGCAGACCCCACCCTTCCCTGGGGTGGAAGGGCAGGAAGAAGAAGGACCGTCATTAAAGCAGAGTGGCCAGGTGACTCAGGCGAGAGCCCAGGCTCAAGGGGTCCTGAGCCAGACTCAGCAGAGGTGTCCAGCCCTAGTGACCCTCAGCCCACCCTGTACTTCTGGGACTCTCGATAGGACCTGCTGCCATTTCCCATGGGTAAGCATGGACAGGGTGTGGAGGGAGGGGCTCAGAGAAGGAAGGGGGCCACCCCAGCTGACACGGCCTGTCTGGGACTTGCTGGACCAGACAGGTTTCCTGATTCAGGGGCCCAAGATTTTGCACCCATACAGGTGCTGCCCTGGCGGGTGGGTGGGCTGGGAGCATCTCTGCTCACCTGGGCCTCCCTCTGGGGAAGGCGAGCCTGGGAAGCCTGGAACAGCAGATGGGAGATACCAAGGGCAGACTGGGGACAGGGAGGGGTCAAAAGAGCAGCCACTCCACGGAGTGAAAACTCACACCTGGGGCCCTTCGCCAGGTCGCACTGTTGGATGACATAGACAATGTGACCATAGCTGTGTATTTCAGAAAACGACCAAAATTATGTTAGATAGTCCACCTATATGTGTAAACACACAGGCATATCTGAAAGATTCTGCCCCGGCCTGCAGGGAGGTGAGCAGGCTGGAGGTGCTGGCCTGAGGGTGAGCGCTACTGGACTCAACAGGAGGGCAGAGGGGGCTCTGCTGCACCTACCCACACCTCCGAAGGGCAGGCTGGTCAAGGTCATGTGCATGAAGCCGTCGTTCCCGCAGAAGGCCCCACTGCTGGTCCGGGCCAGCACCTGTGTGACCACCTGGAGAGAGCAGGAGTGGGTGAGGCTGCCCCACGGGCCAGGCCCAAGGCCCCAGCGCCTGTTCCCAGGCTGACCTCGGTGGCACTGGTCTCATGTCAGGGTCTGAGGCCACCATGTTAGCTGAAGGTGAGCGGAGGGACAGGCAGGGTGTGTGTGGCCTGAGCAGGGTGCTGGGGACATGAACTCTCAGGCTGGAGGGCAGGGACACAGAGCGCAGTGACAACGTGCTGGATGGGTAGTCAAGGGGAGGGATGTGATGTGTCCTGTGTCTCTGGGGGGAGGGGGACAGGAGCTGTCTAGGCAGGGGGACTCCCTGGGCAGAGGAGCCAAGGCACAGGGAAGCAGAGGCCTGTGGGGTGAGCACAGGGGACAGGAGGGCCCAGCCCTGTGGTCAGATTTGTATCTTAGAACCCCGAGCAGGGCCCCTGCTTGGCCCAAGAGGACCTTCCTCTTCAGCCTAAAGGGTTATGTGAGGAAAGGAAGGGACAGGGACCCTGGACGCTGAGTCTTGGCGTGACCTCTTTGCTACACTTGGTTCCAACCAACATGGTCCTCGGGCGATGGCGGGCCAGGACTGGTCTGTTGGCGGGTAGAGCGACCCCCTGAGCCTGGGTGCAGACATGGCCCTGGCATTGACCCCAGCATGAGTGGTAAGGACAGCAGGAGCGGAGCAAGGAGTGTCAGGGGCTGCCCATGTGGTTGCCTGTGTCTCCTGTCGCTGTCCTAGGACTGGTGCAGGGTGGTTGGGAGAGCTTGTGAACCGGATGGACTTGCTACAACATCCTCTGTAGCTTCTCTCTCTCTCTCTCTCTTTCTTTTTGCTGTGAAGTGTGTGTGGGCTCACCAGAGAGGGGCAGAGATGGGGGAGAGAGAGAGAAAGTGAGAAAGCACCCCCGGGGCAGGATGCCACACCACAATCCCTTCTCCTTTTGGGATTTCGTGGGCACACACAGGCCCCTGGCGTGTTTTCCAAGACATCAGGTTTGGGACTCAATCAATCATGTGGAATCGAGCCGCCTTAGCCACCACTGTGATGGCTGGCTCTGTAGCATTTTCTAAAGGTGGTACCCACATAACCCAGGCCACCGGGGAGGAGCAGCCGGCACTAGAGTGGGGACAGGGAAGATCCGGAAGACCTGCAGTTTCTTTTCTTTTTTTTTTTTTTTGAGAAGTTTTTGCTATAGGGCGCGTGCGCTCGCCAGACAGAGAGAGACAGAGAGACAGAAAGCGAGAAATCACCCTCCAGGGGGGGATGGCCACGCCGCAATCCCTTCTCCTCCGTACTCCTCTCAGGATCTTGGGCATGCACACACACATGCCCGGCGTGAGTTTTAAGCCAGCGGGTCTGGGACACGAACCGTGGTCGACTACGTGGGAGTTCAGCCACATAGCCATTATGCTAACTGCTGGTCCTGCAGTTTCTTGTAGACCAGAAAGAAAGCAAGTGGTCACAGCCGCAGAGGCTGGGGCATGTCCCAGGAACACAGGGCTTCCAGGGCACCGGCCTGGGACAAGTCACACAGCCCGTATTAAAAACCACAGGATCAGATAAACATTGCACTAAATAAATATGAAAGGGACACATTTGCCTTCCAGAATGCCAGAAAATCTGCATATGCAGACATTCCACTTCCCTAGGTGAAGCGTGATTGCCCAGCCTCTGCTGAGGGTGGGGTACACTTAGGGACTTGCCCCCAAGAATGAAGAAAGAAAGCAATGGGAACTTGCCAGTGGGGACCCCAGCAGACACTGCCTTGACAAGGGGTGCTCGAGGACCTTGACATGACAGGAAGGCCTGAGCCCTTATCTCCATGACATTCCCTCCAGAACCCACAGCCTTAACCTGGCTGTGAGGACGCACCACAGGGACAGGGACATGCTCTGGCGAGCAGCTGGGTTGTGCCCGCTGGGGCCTGCCTGACCCCAGAGAAGACCAGGGCCTTAATGGAGAGACTGGGGCAGTCTAAAGAAGACCAAAGGGTGGTTAAAAGGGATACACCAATGTCAAGTTCTTAGTTTAAGGGTTTTTTTTGTTTTGTTTTTTAATAATTTTTTTTTTTCAGAGAGGTTTTTGCTATAGGGCGTGTGTGCTCACCAGAGGACAGAGAGAGAGGGCAAGACAGAAAGCAAGAAGTCACCCACCCTGGGAGCATGGCCACAATGCAATTCCATCTCTTCCATTTGCCTCTCGGGAGCTTGGGAACGCATGCACACGTGCCCGGCGTAAGTTTTAAGCCACCAGGTCTGGGACTCAAGCTGCAGTTGACTGCGTGGGAGTTGAGCGACATAACCATTATGCCATCTGTTGGTCCTGTTTTTTTTTTCCCCCTTTGGGGCTGGTTGCCATAGGGCTCATGTGCCCACCAGAGAGACTGAGAGAGGGAAAATGAGCAATCATCCCCGCCCCCATGGGGGATGGTCATGCTATAGTCTCTTTTCCTCTAGTCTCGGGATTTGGGGCACACAGGCACACATACCCAGCATGATTTTCATGCCAGCCATCTGGGACTCAAACCAAGGTCAGTCACGTGGGATTCTAGTATCCTAACCTGCTGGTCTCAACCATTCTTGGTTTTGGGTAGTATAGGAATCCTTTAGGAGAACAAGGTGAGTGTTAATGGGAACCCTCTGTACCATTGTGCAACTTCTCTAAATTGAAAAATTTTTCCCAAATAAAGTTCATTTAAGGGGCCAGGAGGTAGCATGGTGGTTAAGACACTGGATTCAAACATGGCCAACTATGGTTCAAGTCCTGGACCTAGCAGCTTGCAAATCATGCTGGGCACATGTACATGCATGCCCAAAATCCCCAGAGGGGAATGGAAGAGAAGGTTTGGGCACCCCCATGGGGGGTGTGGTCTCTCACTTTCTCTCTCTCTCTCTCTCTCACTTTCTCTCTCTCTCTGACGAGCACATGTGCTCTATGTGCCCACATGTGTTCAGACAGAGAATCTATTGAGAGCTGGCTAGAGGGGCTAAGGAGGGTGGGGGGACTTTTGTGCATCCAGGTATGTTCTAAGCTGGGGACCTCCAACCTCAGGGCTCCCATTCTGCCCCTGTACTTGGCATGAGCAGGGTTGAGGACCAGGGTTGAGGACTCTGGCCCTTTTGGTGCCCAAGTCATTCCCCAGACTACCGTGTATGCCTTCAAAGTCAGCAAAGTGGGGCGAGGGGGCCACTACAGTCACCGGCCAGGTGTAAGGAAGAGGGAAGGTGGGGCCGACGTAGAAGGGACATTGGACACTGAATGACGCCCCGAGGCCCCACCCGCTGAAGGCCCAGGAGAGTGTGTCCCAGACTGGGGGACGTCAGAGCCCAGGGGGCCCCACCCTGAAGTCCCTGTTGCCTCACTGCCCAGCCCCGCCCAGCCCCACCTGGTTGCTGTTGGAGAAGGCGTACAGGGCCAGGGGCTTCTCCCGCCGGTTGATGAAGTCCACGGCCTCGTCCAGGCCCCTGACGTTCACGATGGGCAGGATGGGCCCGAAGATCTCCTCCTGCATCACGGGCTCCGTCTCCCGCACATCCACCAGCACCGTGGGGGCTGCCGTGCAGGGGGACGGCTCAGCCAGTGCCGAGGCCAGGACACCCCAGGGGACGGGGCGCTCGGGCTGGCCAAGGACCTGGGCTTCAGGCCGGGGAGTCCAGGCTTTGGTTGTTGTAGGGAAGGAAGTTCTCCCAGGTCCCCAAAAGAGACCATAAGGGCTGTGAGGCCCAGAGAACCCCCACCCTTGGTTTCATGGAGTTGAGGGAATCTGACAACAGCGTAGCCTGAGGTCCCAGTGTCACCATGAGCTGTTGAACCACATGGGCCTGGGGACTGGGGCTCAGGATAGAGCCGTCAGGTTAGAACTTAGGGCTCGTGGGTTCATAGTCTGGCTTGTGGCCTCGTGGAATGGCAGGCGGTGGGACAGACATTTAGGACCTTAGTGCTCTGACCCCTAGGAGTTGGGTGCAAGCTTAGAGGACCTAGTGTGGGACCAGAGTTTGGAATGGTGGAGTCACGGGTTCAGAACCTCAGTTTTTAACCAAGAGGCTGGACATGGGGAGGGACTCACCAATGTAGCGGTCACTCTCGTCGCTCTGGCCACCGACGGCCACACGGCCACAGCCCAGCAATCCCTGGAGCCTCTGGAATTGTTTTTGGCTGATGATGCGGCCCAGGTTTGGGGAGCTCTGTGGGTCGTCACCAAAGAAACGGGTGATGGCGCTCTGCAGGGCGGGCAGCAGCCGCTCCTGCATTTCAGGGCTGCACAGGACATAATCGGGGGCCACGCAGGTCTGGCCAGTGTTGAAGTAGCGGAAGAAGGCCACACGGTTGGCCACAATTTGAGGGTCACAGTCGTCATCCACGTAGCAGGGGTTCTTGCCCCCCAGCTCCAGGGTGACAGGGGTCAGGTGCTTGGCGGCAGCGGCCATGACAATCTTACCTACACGGGGGCTCCCTGGGCATAAAAAGAAAGAGTGGCCCTGAGTCACCCACACAGGTGGGATGGCCTCACAGGTGCTCTGCTCCTTGCTGCGAGGTGGTGAGTCAGGGGCCAGCCCTCCCTTGGCCTTCCATTGCCCCCTGTGGCCTTACGCCAGGACCCCATCCATCTCTCTCCAGACAGGCTTTTTCCCACACAGTGGCCCCCATGCTGACTTGAGCCCCTGGGTGCTGAATTGAGCCCCGGCACCGAGCTGAACCCCTGGGTGCTGAATTGAGCCCCGGCACTGAGCTGAACATCTGGGTGCTGAATTGAGCCCCTGGCACTGAGCTGAGCCCCTGGGCCCTGCCCCTCTGCCCTGCCCCTGCCCCACCTTGCAGGAGACTCTTTCTGAAATGCCCCTTCCTCACCTGTGCACTCTCCTCCAGCACCCTCGGTGAGTCTGTAGGAGCCCAGCTCTTAGCCCCCCTACTCTGTGCCTCTCTTTTCTGCCCTAAACCTGCAGTGCTGACACCTCACTACCCACCCTGAGCCTCTCCACTCCTCCTAGTGGAGGGCCAGAGCCCCGGGAGGTGTCTGTATATCCTGCCTGGTTTGGCCTCTCCTGTCTTCTGGCCTGACAGTGCCCCTCCTGCACTCAAACACCCCGTCTGGTGTAGGGAAGCTCCTCCACACCTTGGCCCTGGGACTGGAGCTGCCATGTCTGTGGAGATGCCCCGGCCTTTCTCCCCTAGGAGCCATGGTTAAAGCCCATGGCACTGCTGTGCCCTTACTCCTGCTCCCTCCTGCCCTCTCCACCCCTCACCTCTGTGTTGGGTCTGAGCCTCCCCCCTCAGCTCTCCTCTCTTTGCCAGACCAGGCCTGTTTGATCAGCTAGGCCCCTCCTGGGGGGGAGTGGGTCCCTATATGAGGGCCGGGGGGGGAGTGGGTCCCTGTATGAGGACTGGGGGGCAGTGGGTCCCTGTATGAGGACTGGGGGGGCAGTGGGTCCCTGTATGAGGACTGGGGAACAGTGGGTCTCTGTATGAGGACTGGGGGGCAGTAGGTCCCCGTATGAGGACTGGGGGGCACTGGGAGCTCAGCAAGGGCAGGTGCTATGCGTCTCCCGGTTGTGGCTGGGGGAAGTGGGCTGTGACCCTGACAAGCGACTCCGTCCTTTCCCGAGGGCACCTGCAGTCCCAGGGCTGCTCCCAGCCTGGTCGAGAGGGACACAGAGCAGGGTCATGGATCCCCAAGGGCCCCAGCAGCACTTGCCCACTCTGGGCCTCCCTGGCTGTCTGGCCTGGTCCTTCCGGACTCCCCTGGAGGGGACGAGACCCTGAGGGGGTACTGGCTAGGGCTCCCCCGTCCCCATCCCCCGGCGGCTCTCTGGCCTCACCTGTGAAGAAGATGTAGTCGAACTTGTGCTCCAGCAGCTGCCCTGTCTCCTGGGGGCCGCCCAGCACCACAGCAAAGCAGCTCTGCAAGGTGGGGGGCGGGGCTTGGGACCTCAGCCTGGAGAGCCCAGAGCTGCCCTACCAGCCTGGACCCGAGCCCCCTTGCCTGACCTGAGCAGAGCTGCCAGGGCTCCAGGGAGCTGGGGGTGGGGAGTGAGGTGGGGTGTGGGAGCCCCGGGTGCTGGGCCCAGCAGCGGGGAGGTTGGGGCCTGGCCAGGGTGGTAGGGAGGGCTGACCAGACACGGGGCCCAGGGGACAGGGAAACTGAGTCCGAGGGGGTGGTGACTTGGCCAGGGCCACACACTCAGAAGAGGCAGGGTTGAGCTGGGACTCAGGAGTGACCCCGGCCCTTCCGTCCCACTCGGCCCAGCCTGCGTGCCCGGCCTGTCCCTGCTCCGTCTGCCCCACGACCCCGCTCACCGGGTCCAGGTATCGGGGCAGCACCTCGGCCAGGACTTTCTCTGTGCTCTTGCTGATCTCCGAGGGCTTCAGCACCACGCAGTTCCCTGCAGGCCGCGCAGGGAGAGAGCGGGAGGGGCAGGCGCTGCTGGTCTCCACACACTGAGCAGGCGCCAGCCTCACCCGCTGTCACATGGACAATCTGGTCCAGAGGGGGCCATGACGGGCCGGGGTCACGCACCCGGGGCGGTGCACCAGATGGAAGCCAGGCCCCCCTTGTCCTGCCTGACCTGGAGGAGGCCCGGGTAGTGGGAGGCGGGGAGGGCTCTCACCTGCGGAGAGGGCACCCACCAGGGGCACCAGCATCAGGTTCAGGGGATAGTTCCAGGGAGCGATGATGAGCACCAGGCCCAGGGGCTCCTTCCGGATGAAGGCTGCGTCCAGCTGTGTGGCCTGGGCCGGGGCGGGGGGAGCAGTGAGGCCCTCAGCAGCCTCCTTAACCAGAGAGGCCTCCAAGGGAGCAAGCAGCAGGTCATGAGGACCTGCCCGCCACCACCAGGCCACTCACGTCCGGCTGTGGGGCCTGGGCCGGGGCGGGGGGAGCAGTGAGGCCCTCAGCAGCCTCCTTAACCAGGGAGGCCCCCATGGGAGCAGCAGGTCGTGAGGCCCTGCCCGCCACCACCAGGCCACTCACCAGGTTCTTGGTCACCGACTCGTCCTTCATCCAGGCTGACAGGTTCCTGAGGGCCAGGTTGATCTCGTCCTGGCTGATGGCGATCTCAGACACCTCTGACTCGAAGGCTGACTGCGAGAAAGGACAGTCGGCACTCGTGAGCAGGGGGCCGCAGCCTCCTCCAGTCAAGGCAGCTGTCTCTCCTCCACTCACTCACTCTTTTACTCATCCATTCATTCATTCCCTCACTCCATGCTCAGTGAGGAGGAGGTGACATTGCAGAGACAGCCAGCAAGTTCAGGAGCTCATGGAGTGACGGGTGCTGTGGAGACTGTTGGACAGGGTGAGGAGGCAGAGGCCCCTGGAGTGTGTGAGGGTGAGGGTGTGCGGGTGTGCAGGTTTGCATGTGTGTGCGCATGCGTGTGTGTGCTGGGTACAGACGGTCACTGCAGGCCTCTGGGATGAGATGACAGCTGAGCGGTGTCCGAAGAGAAGGAAGGATGGAGCCCGTGGCTAGCTACAGGCAGAATGTCCTGGGCAGAGGTCTCAGAAGGTGCCCAGGCGGTGGGGACACAGGCTTGCCCTGTTCCTTAGTAAGGATGGAGGGACAAGGCACTGGGTCTGGGAGGCCGGGTGAGGGCTGCAGAGCCCGGGCACCGCATGTGGCTCATGTTTCACAGCACTGTGTGGCCTGCAGGGCCCACTGCGTGACAGTGGCTCTGAAGGGGACATGACACAGCCCTCCCTGGGCAAATGCCATCTGTTCTCACAGCCCAGGGCCACCGTCAGGCTTCCAGGGCAGGAGTGAGACTGGGACATGCACCATGGGGACATCATGCTAATCTCCCACTCTCCGGGGGAGGGGCGGGGGGTAGAGAGCAGAGGTTATAGGCAGCTGAAGCCACCATCAGGGACCCCAGGGCCAGGGCCTCCCCACCTGACACACTACAGTGACGTCTCTAGCTCTGCTGTGTTAGAGCAGGAGGGTGGGCCTGAGGGGTTGGCTCCTCAGACCTGGGACTTTGTTGTTCTCAGCTGTTCCCCAGAGCCGAGACCCCTAGCTGCACATAGTAGGTGCTCAACAAATAGTTGTTAATGGCTGTAGCCGTGGATGAATGGGTGCATGCAGACAGCGGCTCTGGCCTGGCTAGGGGCTAGGAGTGATGGGCCTTCAGTTCCCCTGCTGGAGGATGCAGCTGTCCCCTCCCGTTTGTCCCAGCTGCCCCACCCTGTGCCCTCCGCCCACTGCTCCCACCCATCTCCCCTCGCCAACACGCAAACCCCCGTCCTGCGCCAGCGCGTCCTGCAGAAGCTGCTTGTTGTCCTGCAGGAAGTGGCCCAGGCTCTTGAGCTGCGCAGCCCGGAACTCGGCGGGCCGTGTCCGCCCGGAGTTGAAGGCCTCCCGCAGCCGCCGCAGCGTGTCCTCCACAGGGTCCATCCTGTAGCGGGGGTGTACCCTCAACAACCCCAGTCTGCTGCAGCTCACAGACACCCCCACCTCACAGACACACAGGGACTCGCTCAGATAACCCATGGGACCAGGGCTGCCCCCACCACCCCCACTCTCTTCTCGCTCTCTTGACATGCCCACGGCAGGGAAGGGACTCATCTTCACCACCCCACTCCTCGGACCGGCCAGCAGCTCTCCTTCCTGGTGGCCTCCCCTGCCAAGGCCCTCACACCTGGGACCTCACATGCCTCATCGCAGACCTTGGCTTGCCCCCTTCTCCTCACACAGACACATCCTCTTCCCCACATCAGCACCGACCACCCCCTGCCCAGAGGGGACACTCAGGCCACCTGTGCAACGTGGATTCGCGCTCTCTCTGGACTCTCTCCTCTATGGGGTCCTTGTCTTAGAGGTCAGAGTTGTCAGATGGGGGCGGGGGGGCTGAGGCCCTGGGCCGGCCACAGGGAGGCCCGACTTCGGTGTCTTGTATATGTCTTGTACAACGAATGTGTGTGGGTATGATGAGTGTCTGTGTGTCTGTGTTTCTTTGTGTGATGAGCTGGGCACGTCTGTATGAGCATGACTGTCCTCTGCCTTCAGCAACGTGTCACATGGTCATGGCGGGCCACAGAGTGAGCGGAGGACCCTGGAAGTCAGTGGCCCGCAGCACCTGCACCTTCCTGAGGCATGGTTGTGTCCTAGGAATGGTGAGACCAGGAAGGGAGCCAGTGCCCGCTCCGTAGGCTTGTCCTAGCTGAGCAGTGTGGGGAGAAGAAAACAGACACTGGGCACCTTCCGGCCACACCTACAGTTGTGCCCTCCCGACCCATGACAGTGGGAGCCTTCGAATTCTCTGCACCTTCCCTAAGGGCCCAGAGGGACGCAGCACACAGTAGGTGCTCAGAAAATACTTGCCCACCGACTCTTCTCAGTCCCTGTCGTGGGTTGGAAACAGACCTAAGCCCTCCCCATACCCAGGCCTGGGAAAGTCCTGCTTTGCTCTTGCCCCAAAGTGTAGGGCGTTAGGACAGAGTGAAATGGTCCTAAGCCTAAGCCCAGGCCCATGAGGGACCAGGGAGCACTCTCTGCTGAGCACCTCCTGGAAGGCTAGGCCAGGGTGGACTCCCTGGGGGATGCCACAGGACAGATTTAGAGAAACGAGATACAGCTGGGCAGGTCTAGGCCTGATGGGACCTGGCACACAGGGTTTGGGGGTTTATTCTGTGGGCAACAGGCCACAGTACCATAGCATGAAGGCTGGAAGGCAGCTGAGGTGATGAAAGCCGGGCCTTTGCCAATGTCGCCACATGCAAACCTCTCGGGTATTACTCCATTGAACGGATGAGAAACCGAGGCTGAGAGGCCTCCTCACCACTACCGAACGATGGGTTCAACTCCGATCCACATGGCCCCCACATCCCCAACCTCACTCCGCGCCACTGTGTGCTTGCACTTTTGATCAAATTCTTAAACTCTGCAGCTTCTAGATTTTCTACAATGAGAATGCAATACTTACAGACACGAAGTGAACAGTGGATACTGCTTTTAAAACTTGAGCTCATGGGTCTGGCAGATGGTGTGGTGGTTTAGGGCATTAGACTCCCACATGGCTGACTGCGGTTCGAGTCCCAGACCTGGTGGCTTGCTTTCTCACTTTCCTTCTCTCTCTCTCTCTCTCTCTCTGTCATCTGGCTTCACCATACATAAAACCCCCTGTTCACGATCTCACAATTCTCAGACACATTGATCACAGCCCAGGTGTCCCTGGCTGTCCATGCGGTTGCCTTTGTCCCCAGCTTGGGAACTCGTCCAGAGACAACAGGGTCTGTCCCTACCCATAAGGTTGCTGGGGAACTCACTTCACTTCTTGGGGTGCTTCCCAGGAGTCTATTTGTCACAGGAGAACATGAGGTTCCAACAGGACAACTGACCTGAGGCTACATGGCACAACCAAGGCCAGACAAGTGCCACTCCTCTCTGCCCCACATCGGCCGATCCACGGCCAGTCACCCTGCAGCCCCAGGCTTCCTGGCAGTCTCTCCCCTGACCGGCACACCATGGCCCTCTCCTGAGGTCCACATTCTATTTTCCTCAGGCCACTGGCCACTACCCTGTAGTTCTCTGCTCCTGGCCCTCTTCCCTGGGGCCCCACCTACCCCAGCGTGGGCTCCAGCCCTGGATCCTTCTTCGCCATGCCTCTGCCTCCCTTCTCTGCCATTCTGCCTCTGGATGCCTAGACTCTGCTCCTGCCTCTGCCGGCTGTGATCTTCCCAAAAGCCCCACAGCCCGGTAGCCCCAGCACACTCCCATGGGCGCGCCCGGCAGTGGCAGAGGGCAGCCACCCACCTCCTGATTCCCACACTTACTCCACTCCCATTGCTGGGAGCCATGGTTGCTCCATCTGCCTTGTTCTCACGAGGTCCTGCCCCTCAGGGCAGCTGCAGCTTGGCACAGCTGACCTGGCACTCAGGTCCTGGTCTGAGGGTGAACGTTTGCTAGGATGGGAGTTATCTGATAGTAAGCAAAAGCCCCTAAGGTGGTTACAGGATGAAAATATCAGCAGGAGCCTGGTAGCAAATGCTACCTCCTACAGGAAGCCTCCACTGGCCCCCAGTCATGGCCCCGCCTATGGTCCCTGCACTAAATTCTCATCAGCACTCCTCCTCAACCCCCACTCTACAGGGTGCACCAGTCAACATTAGCAGCCTGTGGCCCCATCATGTTTCTATTCTCCTCATCTCCTAATTGCACATCATCCGGGCAGAGGAAGGAGCTGCAACAGTTACAAAAAGAGCCTGGGGGCAGGGGAACACACTGAAATTTCTTCTTTTTGTTTTAAGAGACATTTTTGTTAAAGGGCACATGCACTCACCGGAGAGACAGAGAGAGACGGAGAGAGAGAGAGACAGAGAGAGAGAAAGTGAGAAACCACAGCATAGGGGCGATGGCCAAGCTGCGATCCCTTCTCCATTCTCCTCTTGGAATCTTGTGCATGCATGCACACATGCCCAACATGAGTTTTAAGCCAGCAGGTCCAGGACTCAAACCACGATCTACTACATAGGAGTCTGGCAACATAACCATACGCCATCTGCTTGTCCCTGTAAATTTCTTGATTTATTCTCCTTTTTCTAACTCTCCTGCTACTGTTTGACTCTGGGCAAGTTACCTAACCTCTCTGACCCTCTCTAGAGTAACAATAGCACTTAATAGCACTCATGGTTCTTGACAAGATCACACGGCAAGAATAGGCAAGGCTTCCAGCACAGAAGAGCGCCCTCTCTGTTGGCTGCTTATCTTCCCAGGTATGTACTGAGCACCTCTCAGGTTCGGGGAGCAGAAGAACCAGCTCAGACTCCGCCTCTGTCCCTCATGGGTGGTCTGACCCTGTTTCCTCCTGAATCCTCCCCAAATCTGAAACCAAGAACACCCCAGCTGAGGGCTGTGGAGGCTTTCTTGGCAGGGCGAACGACCCCGCAGGGTAACCCTTGGTTGTGACTACAGCTGGCCCGGCACAGCTGCAGCCTACACAAACACCTGGCCCCGCCCACCTCCTGATTCCCACACTTACTCCACTCCCATTGCTGGGAGCCATGGTTGCTCCATCTGCCTTGTTCTCACGAGGTCCTGCCCCTCAGGGCAGCTGCAGCTTGGCACAGCTGACCTGGCACTCAGGTCCTGGTCTGAGGGTGAACGTTTGCTAGGATGGGAGTTATCTGATAGTAAGCAAAAGCCCCTAAGGTGGTTACAGGATGAAAATATCAGCAGGAGCCTGGTAGCAAATGCTACCTCCTACAGGAAGCCTCCACTGGCCCCCAGTCATGGCCCCGCCTATGGTCCCTGCACTAAATTCTCATCAGCACTCCTCCTCAACCCCCACTCTACAGGGTGCACCAGTCAACATTAGCAGCCTGTGGCCCCATCATGTTTCTATTCTCCTCATCTCCTAATTGCACATCATCCGGGCAGAGGAAGGAGCTGCAACAGTTACAAAAAGAGCCTGGGGGCAGGGGAACACACTGAAATTTCTTCTTTTTGTTTTAAGAGACATTTTTGTTAAAGGGCACATGCACTCACCGGAGAGACAGAGAGAGACGGAGAGAGAGAGAGACAGAGAGAGAGAAAGTGAGAAACCACAGCATAGGGGCGATGGCCAAGCTGCGATCCCTTCTCCATTCTCCTCTTGGAATCTTGTGCATGCATGCACACATGCCCAACATGAGTTTTAAGCCAGCAGGTCCAGGACTCAAACCACGATCTACTACATAGGAGTCTGGCAACATAACCATACGCCATCTGCTTGTCCCTGTAAATTTCTTGATTTATTCTCCTTTTTCTAACTCTCCTGCTACTGTTTGACTCTGGGCAAGTTACCTAACCTCTCTGACCCTCTCTAGAGTAACAATAGCACTTAATAGCACTCATGGTTCTTGACAAGATCACACGGCAAGAATAGGCAAGGCTTCCAGCACAGAAGAGCGCCCTCTCTGTTGGCTGCTTATCTTCCCAGGTATGTACTGAGCACCTCTCAGGTTCGGGGAGCAGAAGAACCAGCTCAGACTCCGCCTCTGTCCCTCATGGGTGGTCTGACCCTGTTTCCTCCTGAATCCTCCCCAAATCTGAAACCAAGAACACCCCAGCTGAGGGCTGTGGAGGCTTTCTTGGCAGGGCGAACGACCCCGCAGGGTAACCCTTGGTTGTGACTACAGCTGGCCCGGCACAGCTGCAGCCTACACAAACACCTGGCCCCGGTGTCTTCAGTAGCTCCAGATGTATATGCCAAGACGACACCAGGAAGAGCACTCTGGGCCGGGCCAAGGGGACACAGATAGAATCTCAGGCTGGCCAGACCTGCTGCAGAGCTGCTGCTGGGTGCGGCCGCTGCTGCTGCCTGCCGTGGTTTGAGTGCCTCTAGAATCTAGGGGTAGAGCCATAAGATTCAAGATTCCCAGAGTGAAACATGATTCCAGATGGTGTTGAAAGGAGGG